TTCTAGTCATAGCAATTTCTAACAAATAAATAAATAAATATATAAAGAAAAAAAATGGGATATTCTATTTGGTGGCCCCGTGGTTTTAAAAATTCTACATGGAAGACGAACTTTTTTTGGACTCTCTTTAGTGGCACCAAGGTTTAGAAAAATTGACCATAATGGCCTTTTTTATATTTATGGCTAACCTTTTTAGTTAGAATGGTTAACCTTTGTTTTTTTTTTGTTTTTTTATATATATATTTTTTAAATTATTTAAATTATATTTTAAAAATAATAAATTAAAAAAAAAAAAAAAAAAAAATTCCCAAAAATTCCTAGCCACTCCACAATCCCTAACATTGCGGAATCCGGCTAGCCACCAAAACCCGACCACCGAAACCACCTCCCAGCCCAACCCCCGACCACCGAAACCCAACCCCTACCCATGACAACCCCACCAACACCCATGTCCGGCGTCCTCCTCCTGCCGGCTCAGCCCAAGTCCTCGACCCTCACCCACCTACGTCAGACCCCCTCCCCCACCGCCGGTACCGCGCTTTCCCCACAACAAACAATCACGCAAGGATTTCGGTTGTTGCGGGCTTACGGGGCTGCTGGGTTGCAATTCTTAATTGGTGGCTGTCGCGCACTGCTTTGGTTGTTGGTTGTTGTTGGGGTTGCGCCATTGCGATATTGGTTGTTGTTGGGGTTGTGCGACTGCGTGTGCTGCTGTGGTGTGATGAGATGCGGGCTGGGCAGCTATGGTGGTTGTTTGGTGGAGATGCGGGCTGCGATGCGGGCGAAGGTTGTGGGTTTTCTCGTTTCGGTGGTCAAGAGCTGGCTGGGAGATGGTTTCGGTGGTCGGGAGTTAGTAGCTGGCCGGATTCCGGCACGGTTAGGGTTTGTGGGGTGGCTGTGAATTTTTGGGAATTTTTTTGTTTTTTTTACTTTTTTTAATTTTATTATTTTAAAATATAATTTAAATAATTTTTTAATTAAAAAAAAAAATCAAAGGTTAACCATTTTAACTAAAAATGTTAGCCATAAACCTAAAAAAGGCCACTATGGTCAATTTTTCTAAACCTTGGTGCCACTGAAGAGAGTCCAAAAAAAGTTCGTCTTTCATGTAGAATTTCTAAAACCACGAGACCATCAAATAGAATATCCCAAAAAAAATTGGGTATTGTAAGCCATGATGGAAAGTGACATTGGTACATTTAATAGAGTCTCACCATTAGATTTTTTTTTTTTTTAAGGAAACCATTGGGAAAGTATATATCATATGAGTTGCTACATTAAGAAGTGAGTTGGGTATCACTATTGGGTGTGAATAGCAACTCGTTTTGTATTTTAATACTCAAAATTGAGTCTCATCATTGGAGATGATCTTAACAGGTACTAAGTTAAGAAAACATGAACATTATTGCAACTAGGCTAAATGGTTGGGTTAGTTTACCACACATTTCTCTCATACATATTCCCTTCGTATTTTATTACTTGCTCCATTTTTCTATGCGCGCACGGAGTTTAATTTTAGGAGAAATAATAGAAAGTAATAAAATATGAAGGATGTTGGGTTGGTGGAAGAATAAATTATCATAGTTGGAAGGAGAGAAAATGTGAAAATATTACAGTATGATAGTTGGGGGGGGGGGGTTCAATAGGAGAGAAGATATTAGTAAAATATTGTTAAAGATTTCCAAAAAAGAAAATGGAGCAAGTAAAAAAAAATACGATGGCAAAAGGAAAGTGGAGAGCATTTGCATACTCCCAAGTCCCAATGCAACTATACCTATTTACAAAAATATTTACTTACTTCTAATGCAAATATTCCTATTTTTAAAGTTAAAATGCCTTAATATTTTATATATGTGAATTATTGTTTTTCATTATCTTATTTTCCTTATTAATCGTGTAAAACCACCAAACGTAACATGCTTTCGAAACTGGAAGGAGTACTTTCTAATTTAAACTTAAAAAATATTAAACACTTGTTTAGTTGACTAGTTGTATTGTTTATAGAATTAGTGAGTTGTACATATGTTATGGTATATCATAATTAAAAACTTATATATATAATGGTCTTTACATACTATCCAAAAATAAAAACAGGAACAACATTTTGAATCTCTAAAATAGGAAAAATAGAAATTATATTGTGAGACGGAGAGAGTAATAAAAAACAGAGGAACTACATAACAAAAAAAAACCGCTCTTATTCTAGGGCCCAGGGCGATTGTCCTCTACCTACGTATACCCAGCTGGCCAGTTGGGTACAATAAAGTGACGGCGCCGCATCACCTTGACTATAAAAAATATATAATCAGTGAGATAGACCTCTTGTTATTTTTAATAGCAATTCTAACGAATCATCATGCATGCAAAACCTAAATTGTCAGCTCCTTATTCTTGACCTGAAACCTCCACTGTTTCTTCAAAATTATTGGAAAATGACTGCAATAATTACATAATGTAATCAAGTTATTACTAATGCTTACTCTTTAAAGGAATGTATTAAGAACAATCGGTCTTACATGCATCCTTATACAGCTAGAATAGCTGCAACATCGGCCCATTAAAGAAGTCCACTTGTAAAATGCAAAACACGACCCAACCAAAAACGAAACCTACCCACACCGTCACTTACCAAATCCGACCCAAACTCCAAAACCATCACTTCCCAACTGATATATTTGTTTATAAGTATATATTTTTTTTCTTAAAAAAACGTTTAGTCATTTCAAACATTTCTACAATTAATTTCTGCTGTGATTTTCTCTCTCTAACAAAGTTCATTCTCTCTCCTCTACATGATTTAACTTCACTAAAAACTAGCTTCACAAAGTGCGCGGGGCCAAATTGAGATAAAGTTGTAAAATAAAATTGAACATGACTACACAAATAATAGATTTGAGGTATTTTATAATATAACCTAGAGGTGAGGCAAATTTTAAGGTGGACCATGCTCTGCCTATTTCTTTGTGGACTAGTTACTAAATGATGCATTTCACATATCCCCCCTCTTCCTTTCTCAATGTTCTTCACTTATTTCCCGGATAAACTTTCCTTCTCCATTTCTAAAATTTTCCTAATTTCTTAATTCCTTCTCTTCTCTTCTCTTCTTCTCAAATCAATTTCAATACATAATTTCTCTCTCCTCTATTTTCTCTCCCCATTATTTTTTTTTCATTCTCTTTGTTTTGATTGATTTCGTTGATAACCATGGATATAGTTGTTATAATTAACGAGATCGACAATACATGTTAGATATCTTAATTAATGATTTATAATATTATTGATTTTCATTATTTGCGACGTGATCATATTTTTTTTTGTTACTAAATGTTCATATTATAGACGTGGTGTGCCTATTTTTTAGGTGCACCATATAAATGATTAAGAGGCGAGTGATCAAAATTCAGGTTGGGCCAGCTGGGCCTTAGCATCAATCTCATGTACAAACTCATAAACGGAAAAACAGGTTTTTCAGGTCGAGTTTGAGTTTTTAACTAAAAAAGTGTTTTAAAGCTTGTCCAAACTCGCATTTCATTTTTTCGAGTCGATTTCGAGTTTTGAACTAAAAAAGGTATTTTAAAGCTTGTCCAAACACGCAATTTTTTTCAGACTGAGCTGAGCAGGGCTTTGACCGAGCCATAATTAATAACCTCTAATATAACCCCGATCTACAAAATTCTATCTCTTGATCCCCCCTTTATTTTAAGAGAAACTAAGCATACTTTCTATATATATATCTATGTTAACAACCACCAGTCCACCACCTGCCCCAAAAAAACAATCTACATTTACATGAAAGATCCAAAAGTTGATCTACCTAGTATGTTTGAATGAGCAATCTTCATGACTACCTTCACATTAATACGATTAAAATTATTAAGGTTGTTTACATTAACCTAATTCCATTGATTTAAACTTACAAAGCATTTAATAGTAATACGTAATACAACTTAATGGAACCTGTTTGAATTGGTTATAACTTAAGTTGTAAATTAATCTTTGGTTGCATAGCTTTTATTAAAACTTATCAATATTTTTATAAACTTATTATTAATAACTTATTTTCCTAAACTAGTGGAAATGAAGTTAATTAAACATGGTTTAAAATGAACCCATTTCTCGAATTCAAAAGTGTGAAACTTATAATGGCAAATAATAACCACAAAATATATAAGTTTCAATTTTTAGAGATGCTCGAGTGTATTAAAAAAATTACATTGATTTTCGACTGCAACAACGAACTTTTCCTCTACCTATGCCCAGTTGCCCACTAAGTAGGAGAGAATAAATTATCTAGCCAATATAAAACAATACATATTAAATAGATAGTATCGATTTTTAAGGACACCCGAGTATATTAAAGAAATTACATCGGTCTTTGACCGCAAGGACTTGTACGTTGTCCTCTACCTATGCCCAGTTGTCCACTATGTGTAGAGACTACGCATCACCTTGCCAATAAAAAAACAACACGATTGTAATTTATAAATATATCAGTGAGATAGACTTCTTGTTAATTCTATAGCATTTTAACAGGAATCATCATGCATGGTGCATGACAAAGCTTAATGACAAGTTTAGAGTAAATGTTTAATATTATTGGCTTCTCGTTATTATTGATCACCAATAAACTATTTATACAATAACAACATAACACTCCTAAATACCCTAAATCCTAAACTTCCTAATAAGATAATATTTCAATATCAATACTTAACATAATTCTATTTTACATTATCACTAAGATATGTTATTTTTCTACATAATATGGTAAGATCTATATGAAAAATGTATCACAATAGTAAATTTTTCCAATATACCTAACGCCTAATTTGTCAGCTTCTTATTCTTGACCTTTTAAGCTGCTTAATAACCATTTTAATTTTAAATGTACATAAACAATAAAATTAAATATAGACCAAGTAGAGAATAATAGAAATAAATATAGCTTAATTTATGTACATAATTAACTAATTAAAGACTTTTAAAGTCGTCGCTCCCTAGACATATATAAGTATGTGTATATATATCCTTCATTATGATGAAAGTTAGCTTAGTAGTTTATTTTTTTCATACCAAAAGATGGATATTTTAGTACAAAATGGAGGTCCAAAAAAAAGGAAAATAACATTCTTTCGTATCTTAGAAAAAAATTTGTTGATGATGATGAACACAAACCACTTATTCATAAAATTTGGGTCGTTCTTAGCATCCATAATGTTTGTTAAGGCTATGTACGAGCAATATCTTCCTCATCGATGGCGAAACTCGATCTCATCCATCCTCTATCGTTACATGTATCAATTTTTGAGTTCTTTCTCTCCATATCATCATATAACCTTTGAAGAGTTTACCGGTGAACGATTTAATCGAAGCGAGGCGTTCACTATCATTGAAACATACCTTAGTGAAAAGACTTCCGAAAAAGCGAGGAGATTAAAGGGTAATTTTGTCAAGGATGGAAAGGATTTAGTGCTTGGATTAGCTGATAATGAAGAGGTATTTGATGAATATGAAGGAGTTAAGGTATGGTGGAAATGTCGTAGAAGTGTTTCCAGAAGTCAAACCATCAATATCTACCCTGGATCGAATGATAGAAGGTACAAATATGTATATATATTCAATAATTAACTTTTTTTTTATTAGTGTATATAGAATTTTGATAATAGTCCTAAGGAATTTACAATTCTTCCTTAAGTAGTTGATTTTTTAAATTTTATTTTCTCTATAATGTGCTTCCATTATAAAAAAATACAGTTTATTTTTGTGTTATAAATATTTTTTACTATACGTCTATACTAGTATACTTTTGTGAAAAATTGAATATGCATATTTAAACAATAATATATATTCTTGTAGTGAATTCTTTTACAAAAAAATTTCCATCCTTATAACTGTCATCAGTTTTTTTTGAAACTTTTCATCTACTTTACTTTGACTGGTCATTTGCAATTTGTTACTGATTAATGCATTTTTTCTTTTTAATATTTTTTTTTTTTTTTTTTTTTATCATTTTCACACTTATATTGCTTGCTTGTTTAACCTTTAAAAATGTGGGAATTGAAAATTTATACGAATTTGCAAATGGGATAATTATTTAATTAATAATAAAAAGTACGTGAAAATGGAGGAATTGAAAATTCATTGAAATTCAAAATTTTCCACAAAAGATGGAAAATTAATTACCTACATCCCCTTGTTATTCAAAATTCTCATGAATTACAAATTCTTTTAGGAAAACCAACTTTACTAATTGGTTGTTGGTGTAGTGGTGATTGGGGCTACACTTGGTAGGGAGAACCGCGTGTTTGATCCCCCGCAACAACAATTGGGAGGGGAATATAACCTAACCACCTAGAACTGATCCTCGAATCCGGATTAGTTCAAAGGGTGAACCGGGTAGAACACCAAAAAAAAAAAAAACAAATAACTTTTGGTCTTTTACTAGAAATTGTTTGAAGGAAATTATTTTCCACAAAATACAAATTACCATAGGGATTTAATTCTCATTTTAACCAGATAATATCTTCATTTTTATAAGAAAATGCTACACATGGCCTTTAGGGCTACATATAAGCATTAAATACACATTACAAAATCGTATAAATTTAGAAAATCATAAAAATATAAGTACTAATTACACTGATTTACATGTGTTTTTGTCATGAATTCCTAATTTTATACAATTTTCTAGAATATATTTAATGCTTATATATACTATATAGCCCTTAGGAAAACATATAGCATTAGCCATTTCTATCTGTATTTATGACTTATTAGTACTTGTACTTACAAAGTATATAAGGTTTTATTATATTGGACCTTATTGCAACTTGATAACCCATATTGTATTTAATCTAAACTTATCAACCTTTATCTTATAGACCATATCTTATTTTATTTGAAATTAGTTAAATTTATTGGACTTGAAATAAGTTAAAATAAACGGAGCCTGATATCAATATTTTGATTCATCATTGTAACAGGAATTTTCAGCTCACTTTTCATGGCCGCAATAGAGATCTTATCACCAAATCATACATGGCTTACATAATAGAAGAAGGCAAAGCAATAACAATCAGAAAACGACAAAGAAAGTTGTTTACCAACGTTAAGGAACAAAAAGGAGCAACTAGTGGTAGATGGACCTTATGGAGCCATGTCGAGTTCAAGCATCCGGCCACTTTCGACACCTTAGGTATGGCCGAGTCTAAGAAGAATTACATCATGAATGATCTTGTTCGATTTAGTAACGCAAAGGATTACTATGCTAAGATCGGAAAGCCGTGGAAGCGTGGTTATCTCTTGTATGGACCTCCTGGCACGGGTAAATCAACCATGATTGTTGCTATTGCGAACTTGTTGGAGTATGACATTTATGACCTTGAGCTAACTATGGTCGCGGACAATACTCAATTAAGGAGGCTACTCATTGAGACGTCGAATAAGTCGATTATTGTGATTGAAGATATTGATTGTTCACTTGATTTAACAGGGCAAAGGTCGTCCATGAAGGAGGAAAAGGCTAAAACAAATGAAGATGAAAAGGATGAGGTTAAGAAAGTGTTGAAGGATCGAGTTCAAGGAGAGAACAAAAAGAGTCAAGTTACTCTTTCGGGGTTGTTGAATATGATTGATGGGATTTGGTCTGCTGTTGGAGAAGAGAGGCTAATAATCTTTACGACAAATCATATTGAGAAGCTTGATCAAGCACTTATTCGAAGGGGACGAATGGATGTTCATATTGAGCTTTCGTATTGTTGTTTTGAGTCGTTTAAGGTGCTTGCGAATAATTATCTAGATGTTAAAACGCATCGTTTGTTTGAGACTATAAAGGGATTCTTAGAAGAGACTAAGATGAATCCTGCTGATGTAGCTGAGAATTTGATGCCGAAGTCTCTTGAGTTAGATGTTGATGATTGTTTAGAAAATTTGGTGGAAGCTCTTAAAAAGGCGAAGATGGATGATCAATTGAAGGAAGAAAGGGTGAAATTGAAGAAGGAGAAGGAGAAGATGGAGAAGGAGAAGGAGAAGGAGAAGGAAGAAGAAAAGGGAGAATTGAAGGAGGAACAAGAAGTACATGCTAATGGAGAGGATCTTAAGAATGAAGATGAAACTTTGGATAAACCATGATATTCTAAGGGATTTTAAATATTTAATATTTATATTTTGCCACTTTGTAAAGTTGTTCTTGAAAATCTTCCTTGTTTGCGCATTGTTTTCTTAGACCCATTTTCTTTTGTTTTGTCTATTATGGAATGTTACTTTTCGCTAAGGTTAAATGTAATGAATGTGAAAGTAAAGTTGTGATTCATTAATTCATTTATATTATAGGATAATTTCAAAGAAAGAAAGCAAAAGAAAAGTGAGACAAATAAAAAAGGTCGGATAAATTCATTTTCAGTGTCTTTAGTGTAAACAACAAAAGTATTTGTGTTATCCCATCACGTACATAAGAAAATGTATTGCCATTGTTATTGTTCTGATACTCCATATTGGGTTAGAATAATCAATCTATTGTTTTATTGTTTGTAGACTATCTCTAATTAGTCACTCTATTCGTCCCCAAATATAATGCTCATTCTTCTTCAAATCTCTTAGCTTGCACCACTTATAAGGCCCGGAAGAGGTTGATTATTCACTTTTTTTTTTCCAAATAATCCTAATACAATCTCTCTATAATTCATAAGATCAAATAAATAATAAGTGTGATTATATTACAAAATATAATATCAAATATATTTACATAGCTTAATATCTTATATATTATACCAAAGATAAAGGATTTGGTAATAATAGTATTGATATCAAGAGATATAATCTTGATATCTCTAAAACATGACATTAAATTAGACCATTTGATTAATTTTAAATATACATAATACATAAACACAAATTCTCCAAAAAGGCGGGTGTACGTCAATTTATTACAAGACGGGTTAAATTTATCATAAAAGTATTTAAAGTTACCCCTTATACTACAAAAGTTAGATCAGAGAAGGTATTGGGTGCAGGCTGCCTTTGCGTGCGGCGGGCTAGCTGATATATTTTACTTGTTGGCTAATATGTTTCATTTGTTGGCTTATATGGTTTTTGTGTCGGCTAATATATTCCTTTTGTTGGCTGATATGTTTTTTTTTAATTTTTTTTTTTGATATGTTCCTTTTGTTGGCTTCTATAAGACATCAGTTGGCTGATATATTTCTTTAGTTGGCTGATATCTTTCTTTTGTTGTTGGTTGATATGTATATTTTAATTGTTGGCTTATATGTTTCATTGTGTTGGCTGATGTGTTTATTTTGTTGGCTTATTTGTTGCTTTTGTTTGCTGATTTCATCCTTTTGTTGGCTGATATGCTTCTTTTGTTGGTTGATATGTTCCTTCTGTTGGATGATACTCCCTCCGTCCCATAATATTGACACAATTACCATTTTCATTTGTCCCAAAATACTTGACACTTTACTAAATATGAAATGGGTCCACTAATAAAAAATATTTTCATATACTCTCTTTAGGACGACAAACCCCAAAACCCAACTAAATCCTACATTTTCTTTCTCCTCACTACCCCCACTTTCCCCACTTTTTGTTTTCTTACAATATAAAAATACAAAAGAGAATCCTTTATATAATAAACAAATGTTTTAAATGGACCCACTTTTAGTTTCTTAAACTACGTGTCCACCCTAACGTCCCAAGTATTATGCGACGGAGGGAGTATGTATTTTTTGTTGGATGATATGTTCCTTTTGTTGGTTGATATGTTTCATTTGTTGGCTGATATGTTCCTTGTGTTGACTGATACATTTTTATTAATGTCAGATATGTCCCTAATGTCCCTAATATTGACTGATATGTTTATTTTAATGGCTGATAAGCGTCATTTGTTGGCTAATATGATTAATAACATACAATATATTTTTATTTCCTTCTCTCTTCTCTTTCCCTCCTCCTCCTCTCTTTCTTTCTCTCTCTTTCAAATGAATAATGTATCAACCAAAAACCCAAAATGTATCAACCAACACTACTAGAAATAGGCTAAATAGCGACGGAATCGTTCCGACAGACCAATATTTCCATCACAAATTTCAAAATTTCCGACGGAATGTTGTCCGTCTGAATATTCCGACGGGATAAAATTCCATCGGAAATAATTTTTTCCGACGGAATATTCCGTCAGAAGAGCTTAATTTCGACAGAATTTATTTCGTCGGAAGTTATCAGTTTTTTTTTTAAAAAAAAAAACCCTTTTTCATTTCGCAGGTTTGTTGACCTAAAAAAAGAAGGGGGAAAGGAAGAGAGAAAACAAAAGAGAAAGAGAAAGAAAAAGAGGAAGAGAAACCATCACCAACGAGCCACCTCACGCCGATTATTGTTGCCGGCAACGCTCACCTGCTACCTTTAAGGCGCCGCCGCGAGGTAAGTGTTGTTGTTGTTGTTTTTTTTTTTTTAATTTTTAAAAATTGACCTGCGCTAAACCCTAACCACCATATCGATCGCAGCCTCCGACCTCCTTCCCACCTTCGCCACGACCAGAACCACCTTTTGTCGCCCTTGAGGCGCAGCTGCGAAGTTATTGTTGTTTTTTCTTTAAAAAAACAAAAAAAAAAAAAAAATGACCTGCGCTAAACCCTAACCACCTTATCGCAACCTCCGACCTCCTCCCCTCCTTCGCCGCGACCAAAAACACCACCCTTTCCCCCTACTGAAATTTCCGGTAAGTCCTATTCCCCCCCCCTTTTTTTTAAATTTTTAATAAATTAATTTCCAAACCACCACCCTTTTTTTGTAGTCACCACGGACGCCACCTCCACCAAGCTTGCCGTGCAACCACCACCGAGTTGTCCTCTACCCATAGTGAGTTCTTTTTCCCTATTTTTTCAATTCAATTTTATTTTGTTTAATAATAAACCCTTATTTTTTTTTTAATTTTTGTAGGATTTATACAATTAGTTGGTTTAATTGTTAAAAAGAAGTGCAGATCTAAAGGTTAGTCACATTACAAACCGTAATATAATGTATGTTAGTTTAGTTTAGTTTAGTTTATATTAAAATAAAGGCAAAATTGGCCTCAACACTCTGAACTATGACTTGGGTGCACCCAGCACCCTGTACTTTTCTTAGTGGCCAAAACACCACAAACTAATGACTTGGGTGCAAAGCGCACCTTTAGTGAGTTTCCGGCCACCATTCTCACCGGAGCTGGTGAATTAAATTTTTATTTTTCGATTTGCATGCCGAAAAATGTCCTGTAAAGGTTTCGGGGGTCATTTTGACTCTTAAAGGGCCTAAATTGAGCTCGAAACAAGCAAAAAAATAGCGTACATGATTCGTTTAGCGTGTTATAAAATATCTCGATTTGCGTGTCATTGTTTTTTAAGCCGAGTTGAGTCATTTACGCTATTTTTTTTTTGCTTGTTTTGAGCTCAATTTGGACCCTTAAAGGTCAAAATGACCCCCGAAACCTTTACAGGACATTTTTCGGCACGCAAATCGAAGAAATTCACCAGTTCCGGCGAGAAAGGTGGCCGGAAAACTCACTAAAGGTGCGCTTTGCACCCAAGTCATTAGTTTGTGGTGTTTTGACTACTAAACAAAGTATAGGGTACTGGGTGCACCCAAGCCATAGTTCAGAGTGTTGAGGCCAATTTTGCCTTTATTTTAATATAATGTAGTTTAGTTTAGTTTATTTTAATATAATGTAGTTTAATTTAGTTTAGTCCGTTTTATACAATGTATGTTAGTTTAGTTTAATATTATGATATGTTAGTTTGGTTTGGTTTGGTTTAATATGATGTATGTTAGATTACTTTAGTTTAATATAATGTAGTTTAGTTTTGTTTAGTTTAATATAATGTAGCTTAGTTTAGTTTAGTTTTATATAATGTGTTATTTTGGTTTAATATTATGATATTTTAGTTTAGTTTGGTTTTGTTTGATTTGGTTTATTTTAATATTATGATATTATGATATGTTAGTTTTGTTTAATTTAATTATGATATATTTGTTTAATATAATGTATGTTAATTTAGTTTATGTATTTTTAAATGAATCATTTGCATAATCATATGCCTAGATACCCGTTCAAGGCATACACATTAGGAGTATGTCTTGAATAGTCCCCGGTTGGGACTGTCCTTGTACATTTATTCTCACTTAGGTGGTGAATGTATGCCTTGTTATTGATTCTAGGTAATATCCTTGCCTGTCATTTCTCTATAATGTTCTCTGGGTACATAGGTGTATCTAATCGCCTACATCGTGTACTTGGAGAACTGTAGAGAAACGCTGCCGGATTTTCCATAGAATTGAAAACCTAGCATACATTTTCTAGTGGGATTAAACGTCCAAGGATGGGTTAGGTTGGAGTGATAAGGACCCTTGGACATCATTTCAAATCTCATTTTCATTTCCATAACACTTTGATGCATAATGAATATTAAATACGCTTTGTGATTAATGTGGTTATATATATGCATGAGTTGTGTAGAAGTTATAATCATGAAACGAAGAGAGCGTAGCTGGATGTATGATAGGAAGGTTGGGCATTCTATTAATCCAGAGTTCGTGAAAGGGGTTGATGAATTCATTCCGTATGTCAAAGATCATCCTGGGAGTAGTAACCCGAATGAAGTGAGGTGTCCATGTTCTAAATGTAAGAACAAACGACTTTGGGATCGGATCCGCAAACGGTTAAAATTCATTTGTATGGCAAGGGATTTGTACCTAATTACTATGAGTGGATGTGTCATGGGGAAGGGTTTCCAGGAACTCTTGAAGGGCAGCCAAATGAATATCGTGAAATGGTTTTGGATGCTTTTAGTCAGTCTCAAGATCAAGGGCATTGCGAAGAGGCTAGTGTTTCATCAGAGAAGGAGCCTAATGCACAAGCTAAGCATTTTCTGGATTTGTTGAAGGCTTCTAAACAACCATTATACGAAGGGAGTTCATTGTCTGTGTCAGAGATGGCTTCTAGAATTACTAGCCTAAAGTGTGAGTATAATTCGCCGAACAGATGTGTTGATGTGTTTGCTTCTTTGGTTAATGAAGCGATTCCTAACAATAACCATATGGCCGAGACATTCTATGAGGTGAATAAAATGGTTAAGGGGTTAGATTTGCCCCATGAAAAGATTCATGCATGCCCGAAAGGATGTATGATGTTCTGAATGGATGATGCTTAGTTATCTACATGTAGGGTGTGTGGCAGCGACCGATACAAGAAGACTTCTAAAGGTAGCTTAGTGCCTTTGAATGTTCTATTTTATTTCCTTATCACACCCAGGTTGCTTTTTGCAACTAAGAACATTTCGGAGGAAATGACATGGCATGCGAAAAATCCTCGAGTTCAAGGCACAATGGCACACCCCAGCGATAGTGAAGCCTTGAAACACCTTGATAGTTTCTTTCCTGAGTTTTCCTTCGAACCTCGTAATGTTTTCCTTTTCGTTGCTCGTTCCTGGTC